GTTCCCGCCCCGCCCCCGCCCCCCCATTCCTGCGGGCGGAGGGGAGTCGCCCTACGTGCGTGCTCAGAACGGTACACGTTCCGCTCGGTCGGTTCCACGAACGCTATCGCGCAGCGCCCTTCGAATGCTCATTATCGCCCCGGGCAGGCGGCGACACGGGCGCTCCGGGCGCCTTCGCGCCCCTCCCCGGCCCGGCTACCCCGCCGCCGGCGGCTCGGGGACGCTGCTCGCGGCTCTTTGCGTGTGACCACACGGCGGGCAAGGCGTGGCCTGCGTGCGCGGGTGTGGTGAGCTAGCGCGCGAACACGTGAGTGTGCGGCTGTGTACGCAGCGGGTGCGTCCGCGCCTCCCGTGGCACGGTGCGGGTGCGCGTTTGCGTGTGCGTGCGTGTGTGTATGCACGGTCCAAGCAGTGGCCGGCCCAGCCCCTGGCTGCGTTCCCTTTCACCGCTAGGGTCACCTCCTCTGTGAAGCCACCCGGCCTCCTCCCTCCCGCGCAACGCTGGGTCTCTCCTGTGCCCCTCAGGGTGCTGCGCACAGTCCCGCCAGCCCCCACGGCTCGCTTTATTAAACCCGATTGCCAGCATTCCCGTCTCCGTCCTCATCTGAAGCGGGGACCTGGGCTGCTGGTGGCCTCCCACAGCGCCCCGCATGGGGCAGGCCGGTGGTGGGGGCCCCATCCAGCATGTGCCTAAATGGCTGCCTGCCTGGTGGCTGTGGAGTTTCACGCCCATGATGAGGGAGTTGTGGGGGGGAGGGCAGGGGCATGGCCCCCTGCAAAGCTGATACACGAGTGACACACATGACACACACGTTCTGTTTGGCTCCTGGGCCCTGCTGTCTTTCCCCTAGTCTTCTCGTGGGTAGGGCTCCTGCGCAGGGACACCTGACCCTGTCACAAAGTGCAGCCTCTCTGCTTTTCCCATGTAGCCTGATTTCAGGTCCCAGCTGGGCAGGGCAAAGGCTACTCCAGGTCACCCTGCCCAGCCGCTGCCCATCACATGGAATGGGGGCCCTCCAGCTGCTTCTAGAATCGGTTCCAAACTGCCGGACCTGCCTTAGAGTGCCAGGCTCCCAACTGCAGGCCCGAGGCCTGGGTCCCCTGGACGCTAGACATTCCCCCTGCTGACCACCTTTGTCCGGCTGTCTCCTTTTCCCTTGGGAAGGCCTCCATCTTCGTCCCGCCTCTTTCTCTGCCAGCTCCAGAGCCTCAGCTCCCCCCTTTTCCTCCACGAGGCTCAGGGGCGAGGGACCAGGCCCCCCAACCCCAGCCTTGCTGCCCCACAGGACCCTTAGCCTCAGACAAGTATATGGGGCTGGGTGCCATCCGGAACCGGACAACCCTCAGACTGGATAATTAAGAAGTGTGTGCCCCAGGTGCAGGCAGAGGGCAGTCTCCAGACCTGGTGACGGCGGGCTCCGTTACCCGCGGCAGGGCCTGGGGGATGCCACCTGGAGAACGGCTCCCAGGATCTGGACAAACAAGGCCCTGTGGCAGGAGCTGTGACCTTCAGAGACCTGGGCAGGGACGACACGGGTCTTGGTGCGTGTGTGGAGGGTGTCCCCTCCACTGGCCACGCCTTTCAGAAGCCGCAGGGCAAGACCTTCAACCTCCGGACCAAGAGCAGAGGGGCAGAGAAGGGGCCTGGGGTGGCGACAGAAGGTGTGTGGCACGCCCCCCTCAGCCCCAGTGCCCTCCTCCATGAAACAGCCCTTCCATCCGGCCTGCTTTAGGTCGTCAGGTGATCAAGGGAGCCTGGTCCGCAGGGTGCACAGAAAGTGCTCAGCGGACAGTTCCCACTGTTTGCCTGCGCCGTTCAGTGACTGCTTGGTGTCCCAAATGTTGCAACCGGAAATCTAGAATTTCTCCCTGTTTCACACCTCTCCCTGGTCTGCTCAGTGCCATCTGTGCCCCCGCTGCTCAATCCAGACCCCTCAGCAGCATCCTCCAGGCACCGGAAGCCGTCCTCCACCCCTCCCCGCCACGCTTCGGCCACGCCCCTCTGCTGGCTTTCCCAGAATACTGCTAGGGGGCCAGGACCCTGGCTCGGCCTACAGAGCTGCCAGCTGTGGCACCAGCGTCCCTTGTGAGTCCTGATTTGAGCCCCGGCTGCTCCACTTCTGATCCAGCTCCCTGCTAATATGCCTGGGAAAAACAGCAGAAGATGACCCAAGTGCTTGGGATCCTGCTCGCACGTGGGAGCCTCAGATGGACTTCTAGGCTCCTACTTCAGCCTGGCACAGCCCTGGCTGTTGGGTGCATTTGGGAAGCGAACCAGCAGATGGAGATCTATCTATCTCTCTATCTCTCCCTCTCTTTCTGTCACCCTGTCTTGCAAATAAAATAAACCTTAAAAAAAAAGGGGGGGGGAGGGCCACACTGTGGCATAGTTGGTAAAGCCGCCACCTGCAGTGACAGCATTCCATATGGCCGCCAGTTCGAGTCCTGGCTGCTCCACTTCCATCCAGCTCTCTGCTATGGCCTGAGAAAGCAGTGGAAGATGGCCCAAGTCCTTGAGCCCCTGCACCCACGTGGGAGACCCTGAAGAAGCTCCTGGCTCCTGGGTTCGGATCAGTACAGCTCCGGCCATTGTGGCCGCCTAGAGAATGAAATAGCAGATGGAAGACCTCTCTCTCTCTCTCTCTCTCTCTCTCTCTCTCTCCGCCTCTGCCTCTCTGTAACTCTGCCTTTCAAATAATAAATAAATCTTTAAAAACCCTCTTGAAGCTGCATCTCCACTGCATCCGTGTGAGCCCACTTCCCACCTAGCTTCCCCCCTTAAGCCCTGACTGATCTCCTGGCACCCACTCTGTTAGCCACCCAGCAGCCCCAGGGACCTGAAGCCGCCGGCTGGGTCAGGTCCCTGCCCCCACCTCACACGGCCATGCTCCGGCCCCCAGTCTCCCCCCGACTCTGCATGGCGGCTCTTCCTTCTCTTTGGCACCAAGGGCTGTCTTCTTCAGGGCCTTGGCACGTGTTACTTCCACTTCCCCCCCTAAAAGGCCCCGAAGAGGCCTTTCCTGCATGTGTGTTTGGCCCCGCGGTTAAGAAGCCTGCGTGCCGGAGCTGGCCTCGTGCAGCGGCAGGTTCAGCCGGCACTTAGAAGGCTGCACCCCACACTGGAGCGCTGGGTTCAGTCCTGACGGCCCCGCTTCCTGCTAAGGAGCCTGGGACGGCAGCAGAGGATGGCCCAAGTACTTGGGCCTCTGCACCCATATGCAAGACCAGGACGGAGTTCCTGGCCCAGACCTGGGTATTGAGGCCATCTGGGGAGTGAACCAGAGGTAAAATATCTCTCTTTCTTGCTCTTTCAAATATGTAAATCTTTAAAAAATAAATAAATCAAAAGGATGACTATGTACTCTCAGTGTTCACAGCCCGACTTCAGGCCCTGACTCCAGCCTCCTGCTCATGCAAACCTTGGGAAACAGCAGTGACGGCTCCAGTAATTGAGTTCCTGCCCCGCTCATGGGAGACCCAGATTGGGTTCTTGGCTTCTGGCCCAGTCCAGCAGTTGCAGGCATTTGGGGAGTGAGCCAACAGGTGGATGGTTTCTCTTTCTCTCCCCCTTTCTCTAATAAATGAATAGGTGTGGTATAGCAGCTAAAGCTGCCGCCTGCAGTGCTAGCATCCCATATGGGCGCTGGTTCGAGTCCCGGCTGCTCCACTTCCAATCCAACTCCCTGCTAATGGCCTGAGAAAAGGAGTGGAACATGGCCCAGGTGTTTCGTCCCCTGCTACCCACATGGGAGACCTGGAAGAAGGTTCAGCTTAGCCCAGCCCTGGCCTTTGAGGCCATCTGGAGAATGAATCAATGGATGGAAGACCTCTCTCTCTCTCTCTCTCTCTCTTTCTCTCTCTCACTCTGGCCTTCAAAATAAGTAGATAAATATTTCTAAAATGAACATAATAATTTCAGTAATCATAAATAATGAAGGACCCTTCCTTGGCCACTCCGTACAGGACATATTCTCTTCTCCATGCTGACTTCTCGTCAGTTCCTGCCTTCCCCTCCAGAGCTCGTGGCTGTCTGTTTATCCCTTTGATCCTTGCTCATGGTCTGTCTCCCGACTCTGCTGTCATTCTGCAGAAGCGTCACAGCCCTGTTTCCTGCCCCTCTCTGTCCTCGGGGCCTGGCACGGCATAAGTCGACCGGGCAAATGGTAGTCAAAGGGATGATGACCGTGGTGCTACCAACGTCTCTCCAGAAACTCGCAACCCAAACCACAGCTGGAGTCCCCTGAAAAGCAGCGGCAGAGGGTGCCCCAGACCCTCCAGAGACGGGGCTGGCGGGGTGTGAAAGAAGGAAGCACGGATGCCAGGTGATGAGCCCACAGCAGTGGTTAAAGGGGCTCCCGCATAGCGGGGCTGCTGTGGCTGGACCCTCGTGGCAGGCCGCACAGCACAAGGTGCGTGCTACCTGGGTGTGTCTGCTCCTCCGACGTGGAGGTTCCGCAAGAGTTGAAAGGTCGTGGCTGAGGGCGGGGCTAGCCTCTCTGCGGCACCGTGCTTGATCTTTGAGCACTTCAGGAACAATCTAGACACCTTTATCAATGCCTGGGAATGCTCCAGGCCCTGGCTCGGCCTCAAGCCTGCAGGAGGAAACGTGCAACTAGCTGGGTCGCGGAGCGGCCAAGGCCCTCTGCATTTCTCAGTGAGGACAGAACGTGGGGGGCACACTCACCACCCCATCGTGGTGCCCCTTCCCTTTCTGCAGGCTCCAGGCCCTGCCCTAAAGCACCTGCTCCCCAGATTCATCGAGGTTTAACTTCAACCGAGTACAAAAGAAAGGCACCGTGATCACTGGCTAAAACGACTGTCCTATTCAAGCTGCTGACCAGTGTCTTTGGACTGGAAATTCATCTGGAAGACTGAGTGGAAGAGGGAGAAAGCCAGAGGCGGGGGGCGGCCAGCCAGCAGATCTGGGGGAGGGACTGTGTGTGGGGACGGGGTGGCCTGCTGGGTGTGCCCCTGTGCTATTCTCTGGCTCCCTTAGATAAGGCCAGCAGTTTTGTCTCGAGAGCTCTCCTGTTACACGGATCTGCCAGCCCCAGTCCCACACTGGGAACATGTCAGTCCAGGAGAACACGCCACCCCCGCAGCTCTGGTCATGGGTCTCTAAGTCCCAGAAAGACTTGACAAAGTCCTTCCTGACTGGGGCTCCAGGAGGTAAGGGGCAGGCTGGAGGCTGGAAGCCAAGGGGGAAGTGAGGGTGGAGATCAGGAGTGGGGTGGAGGGTGGGGGTCCCCCCCCTGCTGTGGGACACTGCGGGGCACCAGTGCTCATGTCTCCCCTGTGGTAAATTATGGACCCTGGTCTGGGCCTCTTGGTCAGGCCTCATGGGCGAGCCAGAGGGGAGGCTGCAGCATGGGTACCATGGGGCACTCCCGTGGTTGCTGGACTCTGGCCCCTGGCTACAGGGCTCCCAGTGGCAGCAGAGATACTGGTGACACATTAACTAGTCCCCAGGCCTGGTCCCCAGCCCAGCTCCGACAGCCCCACTCTGGGGAGCAGACTCGCAGAGACTGGTAGGCGTGCAGTGGCATGGAAGGTGTGCCTGGGAGCGGGGCTCCACTGGGCTGGGCTGGGCAAGCTCCGGGAATGGTGTGCAGCAATTCCCGGCCTTGGAAGGAAGCAAATGGAGACCTTGGGAGGGGAACTGGATGATGGGGGCCCCTGTGGGCTTAGACGTGGAGAGGGCTGAGGCTGTGCAGAGGCAGGGGCTGAGGGGCGAGAAGTCTGGAGTTCAGGGGGTGGCATAGCTGCATGGTCAATACCCTCAGCCTACAGTCAGACTTAGATGTGGAGCCAGAAACCATACGATCTTGGGCAATCTACTCCATGCTTCTCAGCCTCGGTTGGCTTATCTGTAAAATGGGCATGACTGCCAAGCGTTTCACAGTGACTGCCTGGCAGGATGCCTGTTGGTCAGTGCTACAATGCACCTGTGCTGCCCGGCTCACCAGAGCCGCTCAACCCACACTGCAGTGCTGAGGGAAGGGCCAGAGGGGGTGCAGGGAGGGAAGCGTAGGAGGAAGGGAGGGCGCCTCGCAACCCCTGAGCCTCCTCACACACACTCCCCCCCAGGGCCAGCAGGGTACCTGCGTCGGGCCAGTGTGGCACAGCTCACCCAGGAGCTGGGCACCGCCTTCTTCCAGCAGCAGCAGCTGCCGGCGGCCATGGCAGACACCTTCCTGGAACACCTGTGCCTGCTGGACATCGACTCGGAGCCCGTGGCCGCCCGCAGTACCAGCATCATCGCCACCATCGGTAAGCACGACCCTCACCCCAGAGCCACTCCAGGCACTGCCTCATCCCTTTCCTGCTGGGAGACTTCTTCATGGTTGCCTGGCCATTCATTCTACAGACGTGGGTGGAGCATGGGGTACACAAGGCTTGGGACCCTGAGGGTAGATCAGTGAAACACACACACACACACACACATGCATGGGTGTGCACACACATGCATGCACACACATAACTGCTCACTTGAGGAACTGACAGTGTAGGTGGGTGGAACAATTAGTGATAAACAATAAATAATGAAGCAGTAAGTAAAACATTTAATATGTAGAAAGTGATGTTATGAGAAAAAGAAAAAAATAGAGCATGGTAAGGGGCTTTGGAGGTGTTGGGGGAAGGAGGAGGTAGGTTGCAGCCCCCCCCTTTCTTTTTTTAAAGATTTATTTGTTTATTTGAGAAGCAGAGTTACAGAGAGAGGGAGGGAGAGAGAGAGAGAGCAAGTCTTCCATCTGCTGATTCACTCTGAAGCCAGAAGCCAGGCACTTCTTCCTAGCCTCCCATGTAGGTGCAGAGGCCCAAGCACTAGGTCCGTTCTCCACTGCTTTCGCAGACCATCAGCAGGGAGCTGGATGGTGACTCAAACCAGCGCCCATGTGGGATGCCAGCTCTGCAGGTGGAGGCTTCACCTACATCACCTACTACATCACAGTGCTGGCCCCAGGTTGTGGCCTCTAAATAGGCGGTCAAGGTTGCCCTTATTGGGAAAATGAGACCTGAGCAAAGACTTGAAGGAGATGAGAGAACAAACCATGCAGGTATCTGGGGGGAGAGAGTTCCACACAGAGGGAAGTGTCAAGGAGGCCAGAGGAGCTGGACATCATTATGGGGAAGAGTGGCACCCATGAAGACACTGTGGGGGAAGGGGCGAGCACGCGCAGCCTTTTAAAAATGTATGTGCTTCATCTCATTTTATCTGAAGGCTGGGGGGTGGAGGGAAGAGAGAAAGAGAGATCTGTTCTACAGTGGCTCACTCTGCAAATTCCCAAGCAGCCAGGATGAGCCAGGCTGAAGTCAGGAGCCAGGAACTCCACCAAGGTCTCCCACGTGGACAGGAGGGACCCAAGCACTTGTCTGCTGTCTCCCAGGGTGTGCATGTAGGTGCAGAGGCCCAAGCACTGGGCCTTCTAGCCAGCAGGAAGCTGGCTAGAAGTGGAATAGCTGGAACTGAAACCAGGCATATCAACGTGTTAACCACTGCATCAAAGGCCATCCCCCTCCAAACGGCTCTGCAGGCCACTTTTAGAATTCGCGTTGGGTTTTCCTCCGAGTGAAATGGAGTCCTGCTGCAGAGTTTTGTACAGGGCGAGCATAAGCTCTGACTTACATTCTAAAAGAACCGCCCTGGCTGCTGGATTGAAAATAGATGGGGGGCGGGGCGAGGGCAAGGACAGAAGCTGCTGCTGCACTATTTCTGGCTCAGCCCAGGTGGTGGCAGCGGAGGTGGTGAGAAGTGGTCAGATTCCGAGTGCAGTTTGAAGGGAGAGCTGCTAGGGTGTCCTGGTGGACTGGACGTGGATGGGGTATGGGTGAGGAAGAAGGGAGCCAAGGCTGGCGCCAAGGTTTTCAGTGTGAGGACGGGGAAGGCCGGGGGAAAGCTTCGGGAGGAGATGCAGAGCACGGTGGGACATGCTGAGTTTGTGATGCATTTTGGAGATGCAAGCGTGATACAGAGTGGGCGGTCAGGTGCATAGCTCTGGGCTCAGGAGAAAGGTCTGGGTTGGAGCCAGAGCTTTGGGAACTGCCTGCATAAAGATGTTATTTCAAGACGTGAGACCAGAGAAGTTCACCAGAGCAGTGGAGGTAGAATGCGGTCATTCGGGGAGTGGACCAGAGGCTGAAAGGTCTCTGTGTCTCCCCCTCGCCCCACCTGGCTCTGCCTTTCAAATAAATAAAACTGGGACTAGAGCTGCAAGGGAACGTGAAATTAAGAGACTTTCTGGTGAAAACGAACAGCAGGTTTCCATGTGGTTGGGACCGATCCGGTAACGGGCGGGCAGCAAAGGTCGGAGGGCCCGAGTGGCTGGCGGAGCCGGCGGGGTGTCCAGGCAGAGCAGGCCGCCCAGCGGCGGCGAGAGGACTGGCCTCAGCATTAGCCAACTCCCACAGCTGCACGGCTGCCCCACCAGCAGCGCAGGAAGAGGCCCGAACTCAGCTTGCGGCTCTCCGCACTGAAGCTCAGTGCCCGGCACACAGCCCTCTGCCACACCCCCTCGGGCCCTGGGTTACTCCCAGGCTGCGGTACTTTTACCCCCAACAGTTGCTGGGGACACCCCCTCCGAGAGGCCCACAATGCTGCCTCCCCAGGGGCTGCAGAAGGAAAGGCAATTGCGCCCTGTGAGCAGGGGTAGCGGCCGGGAATGAAGGACAGGTAACCGGACTCCTGGGACGTGGGGAGGCCTGGGGGTAGACGGGTTTGGCGGGAAACTTGTGTGAGTGCCAGCTCCGGTTCCAGGGCCTGCGTCTCGCTCAGTGGAGCGCCTCAAGGACATGATCAAAGCCGGGATGAACATTGCGCGACTCAACTTCTCCCACGGCTCCCATGAGGTGCGCGGCGAAGCCAGGACGGGGGAGGAGGAGGTTGGGGGCGGGGCCGGCAATAGGAGGCCACCTCCCCCTGAAAGTTGTGGTCGGCTCCCGCCCCCAGTACCATGCGGAGTCCATCGCTAACATCCGGGAGGCGGTGGAGAGCTTTGCAACTTCTCCTTTCGGCTACCGGCCCGTGGCCATCGCTCTGGACACCAAGGGACCAGAGATCCGAACCGGCATCTTGCAGGGGGTGAGAAGCAGGGCTGCGGCCCGCAGGGCCCTGGCGTGGAACCGGCGGCAGGGCGGGGCCGGGGATCGGGGGCGGAGCACGGGGCGGGGCCGCGCTGGCACGCGAGGCTCCTGCTCAGGTCTCGGCCCGCTGCGCCCCCAGGGCCCGGAGTCGGAGGTGGAGCTGGTGAAGGGCTCCCAGGTGCTGGTGACCGTGGACCCGGCGTTCCGGACGCGGGGGGACGCGAGCACCGTGTGGGTGGACTACGTCAACATCACCCGGGTCGTGCCGGTGGGGGGCCGCATCTACATTGACGACGGGCTCATCTCGCTGGTGGTGCAGAAAATCGGTGCGCGCGTGCCTCCTGCCCCGACCACGCCCCAGCGCTGGGCGCCTTCGCCCGCCGTGGGCCGAGCACACCTTCCCCTGGCCACCTGTCCTTCTGCCCGCCCAAAGGTCCCCAGCAGCGCCTCCTGCGCTCACCCTGGGTCGGGGCTGGCCTTGCGCCTTAGTCATTTCTTTAGCACGTGGCCACCGATGGCCCATTCACTGCGGCAGGGGCCCCGAACAAGGGCGGGAAGCCCAATCGAACCTGGTTCCTGACTTCATGGGCGTCCGAACCCGATGATCCCTCTTCGGGGGCCTGCGACCCCGCCTCAAAGCCTGACGGAAGTTGATTCCCTCCGTGCCCGCAGCCCCCGAGGGGCTGGTGACCCAGGTGGAGAACGGCGGCGTCCTGGGCAGCCGGAAGGGTGTGAACTTGCCAGGCGCTGAGGTGGACCTGCCCGGGCTGTCCGAACAAGACGTCGAGGACCTGCGGTTCGGGGTGGAGCACGACGTGGACATCATTTTTGCCTCTTTTGTGCGGAAAGCCAGCGACGTGGCTGCCGTTCGTGCTGCTCTGGGGCCAAAAGGGCAAGGCATCAAGATTATCAGCAAAATCGAGAATCACGAAGGCGTGAAGAAGTGAGCTTTGATCCTTGGTCCCCTCAGGCCCTCTGCCGTCCCCCCCCGGCCCCCCCGCCCGGCACCCCTCTCTCTCCTCCTTGGCATCTCGTGGCTCTGACCCAGCCCTGACTCCCTCTAGGCTTGATGAAATCCTGGAGGTGAGCGACGGCATCATGGTGGCGCGGGGGGACCTGGGCATCGAGATCCCAGCCGAGAAGGTTTTCCTGGCTCAGAAGATGATGATCGGGCGCTGCAACCTGGCAGGCAAGCCGGTTGTCTGTGCCACACAGGTCTGCGGGAGCCCCGGGTTGGGGGACAGCAGAGAGGGGATGCCCATGCCTGCAATCCAGAGCACACTCATCCACCCCAGAGTGAGGGAGAGAGCCGGGACCCCCGTTTGCAGATGAAGGAACAAATCGGTCACTGTGTGACTGACCCTAGTTTCCAGGGCACTTAGAGGGGTTGCTTGGCCAGGGTTCCCAATCGCTGTGACGTCCGTGGTGTCCCCCAGATGCTGGAGAGCATGATCACCAAGCCCCGGCCAACGCGGGCAGAGACGAGCGATGTGGCCAACGCCGTGCTGGATGGGGCCGACTGCATCATGCTGTCTGGGGAGACCGCCAAGGGCAAGTTCCCCGTGGAGGCCGTAAAGATGCAGCACGCGGTAGGGGATTCGACTGAGAAGCAAACGGGCCAGGGAACCAAACTCCTTCCGGGCCCCGGTGACCCTGCCCAGCCTGACTTCCTGGTGCCTGCAGATTGCCCGGGAGGCGGAGGCCGCCGTGTACCACCGGCAGCTGTTTGAGGAGCTGCGCCGCGCCGCACCCCTGAGCCGCGATCCCACGGAGGTCACCGCCATTGGCGCTGTGGAGGCTTCCTTCAAGTGCTGTGCTGCCGCCATCATCGTGCTGACCACAACTGGCCGGTGAGGGGACCCTGGGACTGCGCAGGCGCAGACTTTGGGACAGGGGTGGGCTGGGCATTGTCCAGTCACCAGGGAGAAAGCATTCCATCCTGGGGAAAGGGAGAAAGCTGGAGGCCAGGAGAGGCTGGTCTTGCAAGGCACCACGAATCCTGTCAGTGAGCCCTGGAGGGCTGGACAGTGATGGTGGCGTCAACAGGTGCATTGCCTGTTTGGGCTCCTAAAACTCAGAGGAAACCTGTTTAGCCACAGAGCCTCACAAGGCCAAGGTGGCGTGGAACAGTCCGGGAGAGCTGAGTTCAAGTTTTTGCTCTGAGACCCTGCGGAAGTCACCTGGGCTCAGCAAGCCCGCTGTGTTCTTCTGTTCACGTGTGTTCCTCATGGGGTTGTGAGGATTAACAAGAAACATTACTTCTGTGTGTAAATTAACTACTGTTTAAATGTAGATTCCAAGATGGCTTTCTTAACAACCTATTTTATTTGTTCTTTCAAAGATTTATTTATTTGAAATGCAGAGTGATAGAGAAAAAAGGAGAGACAGAGAGGGAGAGAGATCTTCTATCGGCCGGTTCACTTCCCAAATGCCCACAACAGTCCAGGATGGGCCAGGCTGAAGGCAGGAGCCAGGAACTCCATCTGGGTCTCCCATGTGGGTGGCTGACTTCCTGGTCCAAGTGCTGGACCATCTGCTGCTGCTCCCCAGGTCTGTTAGGGGGAAGCCTGATGGGCAGCCAGGACTCAAACCAGCACTCCTATATGGGAAACGGGCATTCTTGGCAGGGGCTTAACTGGCTGCAGCACAACACCCACCCCTAATGAGCTATTTTAAAATATTTTTGTTTATTTATTTTTCTTAGCAGGAAGCTGGGATCAGAACCAGAGCCAGGGGTGGGTGTTTGGTGCAGCAAGTTAAGGGGCAGCTTGTAATGCCTGCATCCTGTATCACAGTGCCAGTTTGAGTCTGGCTGCTCAGCTCACCACCAGCTTCTTACTAATGCACCTGAAAAAGCAGTGGAAGACAGCACAAGTGCTTGGGCACCAGCCACTAATGTGGGAGACCCGGATGGAGTTCCTGGATCCTGCCTTCAGCCTAGCCAACCCTGGCTGTTGCAGGCATTTGGGAAGTTAACCAGTAAATGGAAGATCTCTGTGTCTCCTTCTCCTTCTTTCACTCTGCCTTTCAAATAAATAAATGTCTTTAAAAAAAAAAAGGTCACTGTTTAGGATCCCCTCATCCCATACTGGTGTGCCTGGTTCAAGTTTCAGAGTGCCTGGTTCAAGTCCTGGCTCGGCTTCCATTCCAGCTTCCTGCTAATGCGCACCCTGGGAGGCAGCAGATGATGGCTCAAGTACTTAGGTTCCAGGTTCCTGGCTTTGGCCTGGCCCAGCCCTGTTTGTTGTGGGCATCTGGGGAGTGATCCAATGGCTAGAAGATTCTCTCTCTCTACCTTTCAAATAAAATGAAATTAATAATTTTTAAAGATTTATATATTTGAAAGGCAGAGTTACAGAGAGAGAGAGAGAGAGAGACAGAGAGCGCGAGATCTTCCATCAGCTGGTTCACTCCCCAAATGGCTGCAATGGCCAGGGCTGGGCTGATCTGAAGCCAGGAGCCAGGAGCTTCTTCCAAGTCTCTTACATGGGTGCAGGGTCCCAAGGACTTGGACCATCCTTCACTGTCTTCCCAGGTGCATTAGCAGGGGACTGGATGGGAAGAGGAGCAGCCAGGACTCAAACTGGCGCCCATATGGGATGCAGGCACTAGAGGTAGTGGCTTTACTTGCCATGCCACAGCGCCAGCCCCATAATTAATAAATTGTTTAATGGAAAAGTGCAAAATCAGAAATTAAACCCAGTCGCTCCAATATGGGATGTTGGTGTCCCAACTGGTGTCTTATCACCAGGCCAAATACCTGCGCCATTTTTTTTTCCTTAAAGAGGTTTCTCCCTGTCTCATTTGATATATCTTTGTAGTCTCATGTCTTTGCATTGTGGGAAGGGGTCATGGGTGAGAAAAAGCAGACAGAAAAGACCCAACATCACAACCGCTTGTTGGTAACATCTAGAGCTGACCTTTCTGCCTCCCTTAGCTCAGCCCAGCTCCTGTCTCGGTACCGACCTCGGGCTGCGGTCATCGCTGTCACGCGCTCTGCCCAGGCCGCACGTCAGGTCCACCTGTGCCGAGGAGTCTTCCCCTTGCTGTACCGGGAGCCCCCGGAAGCCGTCTGGGCGGACGATGTAGACCGCCGGGTACAGTTTGGCATAGAAAGTGGTAAGCCGCCCAGCTCTTCCTTCCTCCCAGGCCCGGCGTTGGCCAGGTCCTCGACCCAGTCCCCCACACCTACTCAACGAGGCTTGCCTCCGAACTCTGGCCCCAGATTTTTTCCCCTAGGAAGGATCTCAGGCTCCAAGAGGGGAGGGGGTCACTCCAAAGGAAGAGGAAAGGGAGAGAGAGGACAAGGCCATCCTCCAGATGTCACCCTGCTGTCAGCCGCTGCTCCTTCAGGGGGCTAGAGCCAGGGGTCGCGTGGGGAGCAGGAGGTGAGAGGGTGAGGGAGGACCTAGTGCCCAAGCCGGAACTAAAATCCGACCGCCGGTTGTGCAAGCTCCTCCCTGACCTCTCCTATCAGCTACTCAGGGGGCCGGGCTTGCTGCTTAGCAACAGCACGGCCCATGCCAGCCCACGGTCGCAGCACAGCTTCCGTATACCTCACGGGTCACGTTCTCTGCCGCGCCGCTGGTGGGACACGCCAGACACTTGGCTCAGCCTCCCGGTTCCTCCGTGGAGCGCTTGAGGTGGCCGCGGCAGGTGGCTGGCTCTCCTGGCGTTGGCCTGGGGCCCTCATCTTCTCTCCGTCCTCCAGGAAAGCTCCGTGGCTTCCTCCGTGTCGGGGACCTGGTGATTGTGGTGACTGGTTGGCGACCTGGCTCCGGCTATACCAACATCATGCGGGTGCTGAGCGTATCCTGAGGCGCCCCTCCCTCCTCAGACCCCAGCCACGCCTGCGCCCTGGTCTGCCCCCTCACTCGCTCCCTCCAGCCTGCCCGCCTCCCACAGCCCTGTCTCTGTTTTCCTCAAGCCCTGCCCGCCCTACCTGCCATCCAGCCCCACTCCTGGGTGCCCTTCCCCCTTTCCGTGTCACACAGGCCCCCGAAGTCTGCCTCCAATTCCGCACCGGCCACCCAGCAGCACCAGCTGTGCTCTGGGCATCCAATCCGCTCAGTTGGGTCCTAAGATGCACTAAGCCTTTAATCCCAGCTTGGCTGCTTAATTCTATCCCCCTAGGCTTCCTGTCCCTGCGGGCGGGGGAGAGAGAAGCCAGGGCAGTCTTGTCCACTGTCTCCATAGAACCACTACTTAAAAATAGTTCCCACCCATGTTCTCATGCGTGGCCCTCATGATAGTCTGGGCATCTCCCGAGACAGGGACCCCTCCTCCTGACGGCCTCACGAGGGCAGGCTGCCCTTTCGTGGTAACTAACTGTGACTTCAAAGCGCCACACTGCAGGGGACACTGGGCGGATGGATGCCAGAGGAGACTGCAAGCCCGGCAGGCTGACCTTGGCCTCTGTGTGGGGCTTGCACACTGCTCCCCTGGCTGCTGTCATGGCCACCTCATGCCCCGTTGGGTCCAACGCCCTGCTGTCCCCTCCTGTACCCAGGGATACCTTCACGCCCACCATATTCCCGCACACACACCAGGAGCCAAAACGAGTGTCTCTGTTTTCTTTTTAAACCTAACTGATGGGGAGCAATTATAAAACTTCTCCCCCACACTAAAGGCCCCAGAACGCCCTCCGGGAGGACAAAGGGTTTCGGGTTCTGGCCACACAGTCGTCAGTGTGGCAGAGCAGGAGAGGGGACAGGAGAGGAGTGAGGGGTTACTCTCATCCCTGAGAAGGCAGAGGTGCCAGCTAAAACAAACCCTAAAGATACAGTCCTCCTCCCACCCTGGGGCCAGCCCTCCTGCCCTTACCCAGGGAGGGAGGGGGTTCAAGTATTGCTACCAGGTGGGGAGGGCAGGGGCAGGTAAAGGAATGGGTAGACAAAATGAACAGACAATAAATCAAATTAGCAAATAAGTAAATAAATTAATGACTGAATAAATAAATAAATAAGTAATAAATAAGAAGGAAGAAAAAACATCACCTAAGGATGCAGCCACTTGCCCCCCACCGGGGGGGATCCAGGCTGGCGCACTAAGGAGGTGCCAGCTACCTCTTAGCTTTAAGGGGGCCACCACAGGAGCAGGGGGCACAGGGAAGAGGTGGCCCCAGCTTACAGAAACACGGGTCTGCTACAGAGACGGACGGCAGAGAGCTTGGGAGCAGACAAGCTTAGAGGCGTAGACAGGGAGGTCCCAGGTGGCAGTGAGAGGGCAAAGGGGAGATCCCCACACTCAGCACCCAAGACGTGTGCTGGCCACAGTGGGGCACAGTTAACTGGCTGTGCTGGGGGGACAGAGGACGGAACTGTGCCAGGCAGGACCTTCAGGGTCACTGGCAGGGAAACAGAATGACTGGTTACTTGGCAGTGACGGCGGTGGCAAGTACTTGTGCTTACTGAAGGTAGGGGCCTGGGCCTGGGCCTGCGCCTGGCAGGACCACAGCTGGGGGAATCCCCTCATCAGAGGGCTTCAAGTCACTTCTACTTGGCAGTGGAGACACACAGAGCTGGGGCAGGCACTCAGAACGATGAGGAGGGGGGTACAGGTTAACACGTCAGACAGCTGCAGGGGGCTCGAGCTGAGGACACGGAGGACATCATGGTGGAAGGGGGACATCTCCACGGGGCAGTGGTTCAGGGCCCCTCGGCCCGTGCCAAGAGGCGTTTGCCCTCAGGCACACACTACTGCACCACCCCGAGAGCTAAGGCCCGTGTACCCCGGAATTTCACATGTTGGCAGGGAGCTGGGGGCCCCGGGGGGTGGCTGGCTCAGGCACTGGTGGCCTGGGGGGCTGGGCTGACCCTGGAGGCTTGGCCAGGAGCCCCGAGGGGGGCAGGCGGTCACTTCCTGAGCCCTTGCGCCCGGGAGAGCCATCCCCTGTTGCCCGCTGAGGCAGAGAAGGTTGGGAGGCTGAGAGTGGGCGGCCCCGAGGTCCCAGCCAACGTCCACCTCCCCCTGGGGGAGGGCCCAGCAGAGAGACCTGGGAGCGCCCTGCCCGTGACAGGCTGGCATGGAGGGTTCGGGCAGGAGGGGCAGGCAGGCGGGAGGTGGATGCCCAGGGTCCTCGGGCCAGCAGAGGGCCAGCTCGGACAGGCACCAGCGGGGAGGCCGGGGAGCCTACTGAGCGCCGAGCCGAGCGTGCAAGGAGGGCAGCTGGGGAGTCGGGGGAGAGGGGCAGAGGGCCCCTCTGGTGAGTCAGGGCGATGGCCACGCTGGAGGTCACGGCGGCTGCCTGCAGGGGTGCGTGCACCAGGGGCTCCCACAGCACTGGCTTTCCGCTGAGCTGAGCTCCTGTGCCCGGGGCCAGGCCCTGGACACCCCGAGCCATGTCCCTGTCGTGTTGCACCAAGTGCTGCTCCATGATGCCACCACTGCTGCCCGGACTTGGCTCGGTGCGCTTCCGCTGCAGGATGGAATTCTTCTTGCCTACGAGGTGCCCCGGGGGAGGAGTTAAGGGTAGAGAAGGAATCCAAGAAGGAGGGTGGACCTCAAAGAGAGGGATGGGGTCAAGGGATGGGGATGTGGCGGAAGTGGGGAGAGGAGTCAGGTGCACGGGGGTGTGGCTAAGGGGATGGGGGAAGAGGGCGTGTGTCAGAGAGGCAGGGACTGGCAGTGGGGGAAGCAAGGCTCAGGGCCCGGGACTTAGTCCCAGGGGTGCGGCATGCTGAGAGAGCAGGGCAGTGCGGCGGTGCTGGAAGACCTGCCCGGGGCAGGTGCGCTGGGGTGTGACACTGGGGCTCTGCAGCCTGGGCTCCTCCCTCTGAAGCCTGTGCAAGGGCACAGCCGGGACCCAAGGCAGACAAGGTGGACAGGCCTCACCGATGCGGCGCAGCCGGTCCATGGCCACAGTCTCGAAGGCCCGGCGCATCATGGGAAACTCCTCGAGCACGGCGTTGAAGTGGTCCACGCTGAGTGAGTAGAGGCGGCAGTAGGTGTCAGCCCGCACGCTGGCCGTGCGCCGGCCCCGAGTCAGGAGGCAGATCTCTGTGGAGATTGCAAGGAGGCTCAGGACCCTGACCTCAGAGCTCCCCATTGCACGGCTGACCCAGCTCCCTCAAGGGCCTCCCCAGGCTTGGGAGAAACTAATGAGCACCCATTACCCCAGAGTCCTTAACAGCTGCAAGCATTGTCTCTCTCCTGACTGGCACAATTTCTGGGTTATGCTGGCTGTCCTTCTCCCACTCTCCAAATTCAAATCCACCAACAGGCAAGTCTGGTCGACCCCCACACTCCCAGCTATCCCGCCCCGGCCCCACTGTTCTGTCCCCGGGGGTGAGCCTGGGCACCTCACTCTGCCTCCCCTCTACCACTGTGAAAGAATAGCAAGGGCAGCCCAGGAGGAGAAAAGCAGCCAAGTGCAGTGCTGATGGTCGTGTGGCTGGGGGGCCTGGGGAGCTGGGGGGGGCACCCTGCTTCATTCCTGTCTTTTTCTTGCCTCTGGGCTCTGCAGATTTCACTGCTCCAGGTTCTAAAAATGGGCCTCTAGCCACTACTTGCCACCCTGGCTGGGCACTGGAGTCTCCTGAGAAGCTTTTTAAAGCTATGGCCCAGAGTTCCTTTCTGAGTGGGTCCAGGAAGGGGCTGGAGCTCTGCGATTCTGCAGCAGGGCCAGGTAGGGACCCTGATCCTGGGGACCAGTTGCCCTCTCTCCTCTGCTTCTGATCCCCCCGACCCCTCTCCCCCGGAGACCTACTGACCTCCAAAGTAGGATCCGTCCGTGAGGCGGGTGTCCCGGGCGCCGCGCGCCAGCACGCTGAGCAGCCCGTGCTGGATGAAGTACATCTTCCTGCCCACGGAGCCCTCCCGCACCACGAGGTCCCCTGGCTGGAAGACCTCGAAGCGCAGCTTGGTGAGCACCGCGGTGACGAAGCTGGGGTCGGCGTGGGCAAACAGCGGCATGTGGGCCACCAGGCCCCGGCAGGTGAAGTTAATGATCTCCTGAGCAGGGGACGGGCCTGTCAGGCAGGCTGTGCCCCTGTCCCAAGATGCCCCCTCAAGCTCACCTGCCCCAGAAACCCTACCCCTGGCGTCGTGATCTGCCAAAGGACGGGGTGCTGCCACGGGCCCAGGGCACCTCCCCAGCAGAGATCCCTGGAAGGCCCCCCAATACCGAGATTCCCCATGGGGCCCTCCACCAGCCTCTATCCCTACAGGAACTGCTGGCCAATGGCCTCTACCCCAGGCAGCCCCCCAGAGCCCTCCTTGGGGCGCAGGCCAGCCCACCTCCCGTAGCGGCTCGCTCAGCTCTCCTAGGATGCTCTCCTCGTCGAACATCTTGCCCTGGTAGCGGTGCTCGTAGTATTCATGGATGCGCTGCCGGGTGTCGGCCGGCAGCTTGTGGAAGGACATGTACTGCTCCACCTGCTTGTACTGGAGGGCCGGCCCATTGCCAGAGGGCACAGGACACAGACAGAGGTGTGGGGCCAGAACGGGAAAGGGGGGTGCATGTGGAAGGTGGCGGAGCCATGGAGGAGATGAGGATAATGGGAGACACACAGAAATCACAGGGAAACCCAGAGATGGGCAGAGGGGGAGTCCAAGGACAGGGGTAGAGGCCCAAAGAAGGACAAGGCACACACAAGGCCATGGAGCAAGTGGACACAGGGCAGGACGGGACACAAGAGACCCAACAGGGGCATCATCAGAATAAGCCTCAGGTCAAGCTACCCAGTCTCCGGCAGCCCTCCACACCCACCCCTGCCCTCTTCGGTCCCTGCTGACCTTTTCCTGGTATTGACGCCGGGAAGAGTCCAGGGACTGGATGAGGGCGGTGGCGTGACCGATGAACATGGCGTAGCACGTGGCGCCCACGATCATGCTGAGCATGGTGAGCCAGACGTCGGGCATGCCTACGGGTGCCTGCTGCCCGTAGCCAATGCACAGCATGTGGCTCATGGCCTTGAACAGGGCGTGGGAATACTGGCGGCCCCACGAGTGGTTCTGGGGGGCAGAGCGTATTGCACAGCCTCATTCTCTGCCTGCCCCTTTTTCTCTGTCAGTCCTTCTGCCTGCCCCCTTCTACACCAGACCTTCTCCCAGGGGCTCTGAAGTTGAGTTCTGGAGACCCTGAGGCAAGAGGGGGCCTTGGTTTCTGCCCTGACCTCCCTCCTTGCCTGCTCCCTCCTTCCAAGTCTCCTTCCCTCGTCTTCCCTCCTCACTCCTGCCTCCTCTCCCACTTCCTGCTCCCCCGGGCCACCCCTGCTCCTCAGGCGGAAGAGGACTTAGAAGGCCCTGGAGAGGTGGAGCTCTGGGGACTTCTCACCACCATGCGGTTGATGGACACCCAGCAGTCGGGAGGGAAGTCCTGCAGCATGGGGACCAGGAACTGGAGACAGCCATCCCAGTGACACAGCAGCAGCATCATCCCAATGAGGTTGAAGATGCGAACCACAGCGCTGGCCAGGTCATAGGTCATGTGAAAGATCTGAGGAGTCCGAGGAGGGGCTGCTGTGGACAGGAACCCTCCCTGCTGCTCTTCCTCCATTCCCAGCCTTGCAAATTCTCTCTTGGGATGTCTCCCTCGGCCCAGCCCCCATGAAGGGAAAAATGCAGCTACTGTTCACTGGTACAGAGTTTTCCAGGCCACAGGTAGAGCCAACACAGAGTAGGTGGTATTGCTAATCGGAAAACTGGGGCCAGTCACGTGCCTAGAATCCCAGTAAGTGTCACAGCAGAGACACAGAGGTCTCCTGCAACAGCGGCCCAGGTGTGGCCTGGATGACAGGAGACATCTCCATGGCGTAGGCCTCAGGATTACTGCCAGTAGCGCTTTTTCCCTTCTAATAACAACAGTGAATTTACTGAGAGCTTACTGTGTGCTAGATACTCCTCTGAATGCTGCACATATATTAAATCCTTTAATCCTTACAGCCTTGTCACAAATAAATCGATTTAGCATTCTCATTTCATGCAAGAGGAAACTCA